AGAGCCCGGCCGGGCCAGGGCTAGTGCCTGCCACAGGGCCGGTGGCTGCGCCGGCCGCGCGGCCCTGGCTCTTTCTCCTTAAAATAAAGCCAGCCCTCTCCCAGCTAGTCTTTTGCAGGAATTAATAAGTGGCAGCCTGGCGCATGGCAGAGGTTGACAAAAAAGACAGTGACGATGGTCGCATACATTACTTGTTGCCTGGGGTTGGTTTTTGTAAAGCACCCCACAACGCTGCTGCTGCTGCTTGAAACCCCTGGCGAGGGACCCCCACTGCCGAGTGGCTGCAAAACTCACCCACCGCGATAACACAGCCAAGGGCTCCTCACCTCAGCTTTTGCAAGCCCCCTGTAATTTCCCCAGCGTTTCCGAGTTGAACCAGGTGGTTGCTGAGGAGCAAGAGCTGGTCTGTGTGAGGAAGGGGTGCAGGGGCAGCGGGGTCCGTGCTGCAGTGACAGGAGCAGGATGAAACAGGGTCTGCGTACTGCAAAAGATAAATTGCTTGTATGTTAAATCGTCTAAATGTTCCATGTCTGTAGTTTTCTAAGATGTTGCTCAGATTTCTGTTACCCTCCTTCTTCAAGACACTAGAGATGGGTGCCTAGATCCCAAACTTGTAGGTGTTTGGAGGCTCGGACCAGACCTGGACTGCAGCAGCAGTGCATCCTCCTCTTTACAAAATGCTTTTCTAAGAGGCCTGTGTGATGTGGGAGCACAGGGCCTGGAAACACTCTTGCATCCTGCAGGCACTGCTTAAACTCACAAGTTCAGTGTGAATTTTACGATTCGCTGGTTATTTTCTGAACAAGTAAAAGGTGCCCGTGCTGGGCACAGTTCAAGGTTATAGTAAGGAAAGAGGGTGGGCCATATGTTCCAGTGCCGTGTTGGACATGCTCTAAGGCATTTAAATGGTTCCCAGCCTCAGCTACCACCTGGAGGAGAGCCTGTCCCTGCGAGGTCATCCTTCTTGCTCTGGCAGCCCCTGGCGACAAAAGACCTTCACACCCACAGTCTAAAGGACATCTGAAGAGCAGGACACTGTCATGGCCAGCAGTTTTACTGTCAGGCCATTGCTTGGCAGCCAAGGGAAGGCTGTTGTGGTTGAGCAACAGAGGAGAAATCAGGAAGGAAGGGATGCTGATGAGGAAGCAGCTGATTGTGTGACAGAGGTGCAAACAAGTAGTCAGAGACAGGGCAGGACTTGGCACGGGGGCTGAGCCAAAAGCCCCAAATCACTTGTCACTATGATGTGATAGAAGGGCTGGCTCTGACCCCTGCTCTCTGTGGGAGCAGTTTTGGGGGACTTGTGGCGACCAGCTCATAGACACAGACAGAAAGGAGAGGTGCTCTTCAGCTGCCACAGCCTCAGCCTGGCATTGTCCAGTCTAGCACAGCTTTTCTGTTCTGAGTAGCCTGGGAGGTGTTTTGGTTTGTCTTTGCCTTGGAAGCAGTGTTGGGTGCCGCTGCAGTAGATGTAAGCACTGCATTAGCTGGCCAGAGAGGAACAGGCATGATGAGAACAGAGGTGGATGTGCTGTCTTCCAGGTGCATTGCTGCAAAAGGCAAATGATAGGAGAGGAATAATAAATGAGCTAGTATGTAAAGCAGAGGGATAGCCCTGAGTGTAGCCCTGCTACATGAATGTAGCCCTGCTACATGAGCCCTGGATTCTGTAATGTATCCTTTAGTGAGGACAGCCAGGAGACCAGGACCTCAGGCAAAATGCCTCTGTCTGCAGTAGGGCTTTGGTCCATGTGAATGTGCCACAAGCAGGACTGATGGGTGCTCCCTGGAGCATCAAAACTGCACATCTTTAGACTGGCAGCTTAGCTGGGCAGTTGGAGGCAGGAGGACTGAAACTCCTTTCTCTGGAGTATCTTTGACTATAAAATGGACTCCAGTGGAAAATGAAAGCAGAGCTTTGTGAGCTGCTGAGTCTTTCGGACACAGTGTCCCGCTGTGCTGTGTTTCACAGAGTAACAATAAACTCCTCAAAGGTTACGCTTACTTTAACCACATCACCAGCTCCTCTAGGAAATAAGGGTAAAACCCCATAATCTTGTCATGCTTGTGCTTAGTGTGTGCTGTAAGCACTCACCCAGCATCAGGCCATTTTCCCTATGGTCTCTCAGCTCACCTGTGTGGTTTTGCAGGGTGCTGAAGATGGCAGGCAACTCTGCTCCTTGGATCGGCAGTGCTTATCTCTTCCTCCAGTCGACATGCAAGACAATCGTTCTGCCATCTCTCTACGAAAGCTCCCAGAAGAAACCTAGTGTGTTCAAAGCACTGAAGCTGGCATTAGCAGGTACCCATCCTCTCTGATATCTTGGCATGCTGTCTCATCCCTTCACACAATGCCATGCCTTTCTTTAATCCCAGCGCTCATGGGTAAGCAAAGCTGTTACTCACTGTATTTAGGAAAGATGAGAATGCAGAGCAAGTTCAGCAGAGGTCCACCAAGCTGTTTGGGGGGCTGGAGTGTTTGTCCTGCGAGGAGAGGCTGAGGGAGTTGGACCTGTTCAGTCTGGGGAAGAGAAGACTGGGGGACCTACCAGTACCTACGGGGAGAGGGAGATGGAGCCATGCTCTTCACAGGGCTGCATGGGGAATGAGGCAGCAGGCACAAACTGAAACAAGAGAGTTAGACACCAGATATAAGGACAAACACTTTCCCCATGAGGACAGTCAAGCAGTTGTCCAGAGCAAATATGTACCTTCTTCTACTTGGGAATTTTCAGAACAGGACTGAGTAAAGCCCTGAGCAACTTGGTCTGACCTCAGAGCTGACTCTGCTTTGCATTGGAGGTTGAGCTAGAGACTTCCTGGGCTTCCTTCCAACTTGAACTATCCTGTGAGTTATCCTACTTTATGAATGTTTGTTTAAACCCATTTATGTAAGAGGGGAAAGACTGCAATTGCTATGAAAGAAGATTTAATTTCTGTCTTTATACTACCACACAAACATGATTTCTACTTTGAGAAGCTGAGTTTTAAAATTAGTGATAGCCACTGTAAGTTCTTTTCTCATATAAACAGGCACAATTACATTAGCTTCAACTGTATGTAACCCTATTTACATCAGAAGAGGACTTGAGTGCAGATGGCCATAAAACTGTATTTCTCTATCCATTCTTGCACCAAGCTGACTTCAGAATAATAGTAATTTGAAGAGTTTATTATGCTTACCTAGAATGACCCTCATGGTGTTCTTCACCTGTCATACAGCAGAACCAGTATTGTTTAACAGGGCTTGTGTAAATCTTCTGTCACTTCTGGCAATCATGAGTCTAGCCAAGTTTATCCAATATAGGCCTCCTCAATTTGCAGCTCGATCCAAAGATGGGAAGCAGCAGGAAGCCCGACAAATTTGTCCAGTTAGGCTTGATTTATGGATGCTTTGTGTCACTGGAACGTGAATCTGCTCGCACATTTAAAGGAAATCCCACAAAACCACTAAATCCTACCATGTTTCTTCATACTTAAAAAGGACGTGAAATCTGAAGCTGTCTGAAATTTCATGAAGAAATACGTGCAAAGTTCTCCCTTCTGAGGTAGCTTTACAGCTGTCCTGTACACCATTCATAAAGCTTTCCACGTCTGTGCAGCTTTTCCCTCCTAGGCTTCTTATCCTGCTATGGAAGCTTTTGTTTAACCAGTGCTGATGAAAAACAAAGCATGAAGAAAGTTCTAAGAAGACATTTCTGCTCAGCCACAGTGAATTAAAACACCTCTCCGAGGTGCCTAGCCCCATGCCCCAGTTACACATCTGGTCCAAACTAAACTTTCTGATGCAAGCGGGACTCTGTAAACCCTGTAAAGCCACTGTTAGATCACATAGTTTTAAATGCCACATCACTTGTTCTGCCTAATGTGGAGCACGCAGCTCTGCTTTGCCTTGGGATTCTCCTCCAAGCATGTCTAAATAATGCCATGATGTATGGTTTAGAAATACCTGATGTCATGCCAGTCTGAGCTGGCACCTCTGTACAGCCCTGTGCAACAACTAAGAGGTTAATTTAGGTCTGGAAGCAGTACAGCCAGCATCCCACAGGCCTCTGCTGAAAAAAAAAAAAAAGAGAAAAACACATACTTTAAACTGTCAGCAGCAGCATAGAAAATCCCTGTGGAGACAAGGTCAATGTGCACAGCTAATCAAAATTAAATTTTGCTGGGAGAAGGAAGAATGAAGGCCTGACCAATTTCTGTTGTCCATGTCAATTGTGCTCTCCCTACACTAACGTTAGAGAACACATCTCTGGCTTCTTGTTTAGATTTTACCGTGAATTAATTCTCTGTGCAAAAGAGATTAAAAAGTAAAGGCCCAATCTCAAGCAGCCTAAATTCCTGTGGCTATATCTATCATTCACCATTTGTGAGATGTGTTAAAGGCTCAGAGCCAGCCAAAAGTTACCTCTAGGCACAGAGTGGAGAGGAAACGCTGGGTCTTTCCAGGACCTTCATCACTGCATAAAACTCCACTCACAAGGGCTGAAGTCTGACTGAGCACTGAGCTGAACTATGCGCTTTCAGCTATAAAACTTGGCTGTGCTACTGGTTTAGTGTAACCGTTTCTGTCCTGGAAATGGGATCTCAAATGTAAAACCTCCCCTAATAAACAGTGTTGAGATAATTAGCTGGGGTGTAGTACCATATGGCTTCAGTTGGACACGGGGACCGATGGTGGCATGGCAGCAAAAACTTAATCCTTTCCTCTTGGTTTTACATATAGGTTTTTTATCCCAGAGGACTTTATCAAAGAGAGAAAAGAATTCAAAAACTACTCCATTGCAGGCTTGGTGGTGGATGGGAGTGGGTCTGGGTTGTCTGTCTCATGCCTGGATAGTGACTCCGCTCGCTTTTCCCTCCCAGACTCCACCGGCAGCATGAATGGTGTGGACATGCTCAAAGTGCACTGCAGCCACCCGCACCTGATAGTCCAGCTCAAGTTCTGCAAGCAGGAGAACTGCCGCCGGTTCCTGCAGAGTTACCGGGAAGGAGTGCTCCAGAAGTCCCTCCAGAATCACCTCCAGCTCTCCTTGGCCATGACCACGGTACCTCTTGAAATGGAGCTGAAGGCTGGCAGTGAGCACCTTGACAACATGCTGAAGGATGAGGATCGCTGCCTAGAGTGCATCTATGGAGAGAAGGTGAGTGGGGGAGGGAGGGAGGCAGGCAGGCAGGCAGGCAGCAGTGAGGAGTGGTAGCACTGGACTCAGGAAGGTGGCTGCAAATCTCACCCTGCTGCAGCATGCTGCGTTGTTGACTTCTCCATCCTTCAGTTCTCAACTGTCATATGGAGAAACAGCTCTGTCCTTCCCCATGAAAGAGCTGTGCACTGTTCTGGAAGGGCAGTAGAATTACCTAAAACATCCTACGGAGATCCTGCTAAATCACTGTGCTGTCTGTGTATAACAATTAGTATGGCTGTTATCACCACTAAGGCGAGGAATTATAGAAGGTACAGTTGAGAGCACAAGCAAGTGTGCCTCAATACACCTGTGAGGCAGGCAGAGAGGACAGCAGTCCTATAATCATTGCTCAGCACCTTCCTCCCCTGCCTGGTGGACCACCTCCTCTGAGAGTAGTAATGGTAACTGCACCTAGAAATGAGCATGAGTGCAAACACTCTGCACATTATCCCAACAACTTGTGACAGAGTGGGGACACGTGGCATCAGAACAGGCTGCCCTTCTGTCTCTCTCTCGGGGAAAATATTTCTCAGGGGAATGGGGGGTATTTAGTCTAGAGAAGAAGAGGCTGAGGGGAGACCTCATCACCCTCTACAGCTCCTTGAAAGGAGGGTGCGGAGAGGGGGGACGAGTCTCTTGAACCAAGTAACAAATGATAGGACAAGAGGAAATAGCCTCAAGCTGCACCAGGGCAGGGTCAGACTGGCTCTGAGGAAGTATTTCTGTGCAGAAGGGGTTGTTGGGCCTTGGAATGGGCTGACCAGGGCAGGGGGGAGTCCCCATCCCTGGAGGGGTTGAAGAGTCGGGTTGACCCAGCACTGAGGGATCTGGTGGAGTTGGGAATGGTCAGTGTGACGTTAATGGTTGGACTGGAGGAGCTTCAAGGGCTTTTCCAACCGAGATGATTCTGTGGTGATTCTGTGACATCTAACCCCTAGCTCATCGCACACTTTGGCACTGGCGCTCTAATCCTGCTAGCAAGAACAGTGTGATCTTGTTATCTCACCACAAAACCAAGGCACCTGACATGATTAAATTCACTGCTTTTCTCCTCTCTTTTTTTTTTTTTCCACCTGGAACTAGCAATACCTTATAGCTCCAGTTCCCTTTAGATGGTCCTGAGAAATCAGTAGTCACTGTCTACTCAGGAAGATTAGGCACAAAAACATGTTTTTCCAGGTTGCTTCTTTGCAAGCACAGAGATTGAAATGCCCTAAAGCAAACAGCATGTGATATCCCATACCCTGTTGACTTCTGCTTGCTGCTCCCTCCTGCTGCTGAACTAGCTGACTGGACAAGAGAGCTGGCTTATTCTCAGTTCCCCAAAACTGACTTGGTCTGACCGCTGCCTAACAGTGCTACAGTCAGGAAGATGGCACTACAGCACAGCCAGCAGTGGCTGAGGGCACTGCTGGGTATCTGCTGTGTGAGAGCTAAACACCAGACTGAGTCAGAGCACTCGCCAGGTTTGGCTCTTCCCATGTGCTTTGCCTTCTCTCACTCCTTTTCTCATTACCTGCTTTTTGGAGGTCTGCTTTTTTGCTTTTTCTGCTTTACCTGCTTTTTTTGAGTTTTCTCTTGATTAGTGAGAAAAACTGGCTTGGAGAGGATCCAGGAATGACAAAATTTAGGTAATGGAGGGGCAGAGAGAGAGGAGCTGCCTGCTTTGGTGGCCATGAGCTGTTGGGTCAGGTAGTCCTACTCTGTGGATCTGACCCGCACGTGGAGTAAGTCAGAGGCTACGTTGCCTGTGGTGTACCATAATTCTTGCAGAGGGCTGCTGAAAATAAACATGGACTAGTAGGAGTTTTGTGCAACCTGTAAGCACTCACTGCTGCTGTGCGTATCCCAGGAGGGGGAGATTGCCTATTTCATATCATGTTACAGATTCAAATTCACACATTTACAGCAGAACTCCATTAGACTATCTCATTTGATCAGTTTACAGCTCAGGCTATAGCCCTCTCAATGCTCCTCTCTTGACACCATCATCTTAAGCTGCACCTGATATAAGCATCAGCAGCTTTGCGAGATGGTGAACCTGGCACAGATCACTGATGCTGTTTGTGTTACAGCCTGACCGCCTGCGGGATGAGGAAATCACAGAGCTGGAGGAGTGCCTCAAGAGCCTGATTGTTCACCAGAGCATCAACAACAATATGGCTGTAAAAGACTGTGCGTCTCTAAACTCCCCATCTCTACTTCATCCTTCTCAAGGCAGCTCCCTTTCCTCACAAGCCACCTTCATCTTTCAGGGACAAGAGTTTGGTGAGTAGATAGAACTGACCACGAGAGCCCTTGGTGTTGCTTGCCTCAAAGCCCAAGAGGGAGGATTAACATGACTACATACTCGGGTCTACCTGAGACAAATCAAGGATTTCCCAGCACCTATTAAGGAAAATATTACAGTAGTCCTAAAATACTGCCATACTGCTTTAGATCAGGCCTCAACCTGTTTTGTTTTCTGGGGTGGCACAGAACCAGGTGCTGCAGAGTCTGTGTCCCTTACAAGTTCCTCACATTTTAAAAGTCCTTAATACTGAAAGGAAGAATATAGAGTATTTTGCTCTTCCTCCACCTCATTTGGTTGAGGTGAGGTAATAGCATAGGTTGGATCAGACCGAGAAGTCACTACAGACACCATCAGCCCTGCTTTCAGCTGGGACTGCTTTGTCCAGGCTCCCTGAAGCACACCAGCTGCCTGTGGGGCCTGTGCCCTACAGAGAATTTTCTGACAGTCTCACAGAACAATTTTAGATTGACATCAGCTAGAAGCTGTGTGTACAGTCTGCAGCGGTAAACAGCCAAGGAGAGCACTCCCGTCTGCGTTTCAGTATTTTGAGGATGCTTAGGTAGGGAAGAGAGGGCTTGGTTGGAGAGGCCTTGCTGGGTTGCTTTTGAAAGGCTGAAACAAATAAAGAGAATGTCCATCAGAAAAAAAGTGAGATCTGGTGAACCGCAGGACTGTCCCATCCTGGGGGAGAAAAATAAAGGAAAATAGGCATTGCCAAGCTTGCAGGGTGCGGGCAAGCCCAGGTACTCTGATGTTGTGGAGGATTTCAGGAAGGGAACGGCCTGAGCAAGGCAGGGAGCCCAGATGTGCCCGGGCAGATGGCTGTGAGCAGGTAAGTGTGTCACCACGTGCTACAGTTTGCCATTGGAGGCATCAGCACTGTCCTGGGGGGTGGCAGACTGCGTGGGGAGCAGACCTGTTCAGCTCCTACCCAGAGAGCAGGCAGACACTAAGCAGTGAGGCTCAGTCCAGCTGGTTTTCCCTTTCCAGTGGTGGCGGAATGCCATCAGAGCACACAGACCCATGGTGGGGCAGAGCCCCTTTAGCCCCTTCAGCTGCTTTTTTTTAGCCCCTTCACTGCTCTTGCACTTCTGCTCCGTACTCACAGTGCTGCCCTGGTGCTAAAACATCAGAGAACAAGCAGAGCAAATCCACAGCAGTTTAATAACGTGCTGTGGACACTGAACAGACTCCCCCGCTCCATAGAATATTGAGAAAACCTTGGACTGGCCCAAGCTGTGTCATATCAGCCATGAAACCTCTGTGTTTTACCTGCCCTCTGTCCCTTTCAGCCAACAGAATGCTCACACCAGACGACCACCAGAAGTTTGCCAAGCTCGTGTCCAAGAAATGGAAACAAGTGGGTCGTTCTTTGCAGAAGAACTGCCGGGCCCTGCGTGATCCTGTCATCGATAACCTGGCCCTTGAATATGACCGAGAGGGACTGTATGAACAAGCCTATCAGCTGCTTCTCAGATTTATCCAGTCAGAGGGGAAGAAGGCCACAATAGTGCGGCTGATTGCAGCCCTGGAAGAAAATGGTCTCATCAGCTTGGCTGAGGAGCTCTTGGGCCTCCATTCCAATGAGGACTGCTGCTAGAGCCCCAAGGGTAGTGGCATTGCTAAGGGCTTTCTTGCTTTAGCTAGTGTATTGGGACTGCTGCCAGCATCTGGGAATGTAAAGTCCTGAAAATCACCACAGGTTTCCATGTAGGTGGAAATGCCCAGGGGAGAGGTTTTGTGCTTGCAGAAGCCAGCATAGACTTCAGATGTTCCTTATTCTGTCTCTAGAAGTCAATGTTACCTTCCCATGCGCTGGTGAGAAAGGCTTTCATCCTGACTTCTTTCAGGACTGAAATGTCACAGGGAAACAGCCAGACAGTTAGCCCTAGGGAAGGGTGGCAGAGAGGAGAAAAGCAAGGAAGGCATCTCAGAATTTCTCTGGGAAGCAGACAGTGCCACTGTTTCTCAGGCTGTGACCCAGGGCTATCACCCGGAGAGCTGCAGTATATTTTTTTATATTGAAGACATTTATGCCCTCAGGCATGGCATCAAGCAAAGACAGAGGGGAAATTAAGGAAAAGTCAATTTTATATTATTTTCCTTCATTGTTCCCCAGAAAAGGAACATCTGTGGCGAGTGCATCTGTCCTGCCCTACTCTAGCTGCTTCCCACCTCTCACCACCTGAAGGTTTTCCTTTTACCTGGGACAGTCTTAATCTTCCACAGGGCACATGATTGCTGCCATGGAACAAATTCCAGGCACTGAACAAGCAATATGGACAAACACAAATTCAGAGACTGATTCTCAACTCTTTCTGGACCACAATATATCTGGACAATAATACATCGCACTTAGCTCTGTCCCACCAACCTGAGGGAGCCGGCATCTTGAAAAGCAAAACACAGTGCTGGAAGGAAAATAGTCTCCTAGTCAGCAGGCTACCTGTGGAGCGTAGATTGGAGCTGCTGCTCTAAGGTGTGTCACAGCATCAAATACCATCCTGACCCCAGCTCACAGAGCTGAATAATCACCTCTGTCCAGCTGGCTGCTAGTGCCTTCACTCACTTCTTAACCATCTGCCCTTGGCCTGCCAAGCTCACCGGGGAGGTTGGCTCATGCCATCACGTCTCACAAGAGTCGGGATTTGCACAGAGCTTTTCTCTGGCAGAACAGTCACTGTGTGACGATTGGGCATCAGCTGCTGTGCCTGGATTTACCTGCCCTGATTTTCAGGGTTAAAAGTGGCTTAAAGGACAAAGCACCCAAACCCCAGGGCTGAGCTGTGCTTTTAGTTCTGGTGAGAGAAGCTGACTCCCTCCTGGTACGGCTGATGCAGACTGGAACAGAGCAGAGTTTACACCTTTGTCTGTAACAAAGCAACGAGAGTCTACCATGACATGGGTCCCATGAAGCCCAACAGCATCTTGATACCTTTGACATACTCCCTATGCTTTCCTGATACGTTTTTACTTATCCTTTTTCATTAATTCTAGCACTCTTTGCCCTTCTCATCTGTGGGAAGATCCAGGGGGCATTGGAAATTATTTCAGGTGCAGAGGGTGGCTCTGCCAGCACACATAAAGCCTGTGTGTGCACACAAGTATCAGGCCACTGGCAGTCGTATTAGGAAGAGCTTTCAAAAGGCAAGCCCTCATGGCCTTTTAAACTACTACTCACATCTTAATCCTTCCTGGAGTCAAAGCTGTAATTTGGTGAGGAGGGTTGCAACATGGGATGCAGGTGTGGGCTCCTGGGGCTGGTGCTGCTCCCTTAGCTTCTGCTGAAATACATGCTGTGAGCATCAGCTAACTGAAGACCCAGATCAGGAGGATTTAGATGGCCAGCTTCTACTCAGAGTCCACATACCTCAGAGGAGATAAACATTGTGTTCCTCAGTGTAAGCCTGAGTAATCTGGCTGTTTTTCTGCAGATTTTGAATCCTCAAGGTTACATAGACAGTGTGGAAAGAAAGTGGAGGGGGTTAAAGATGGGGACACTGTTTTCAGGGTATGAGTGAATCTTTTTCCATCTTGCCCTTAGAATCAAAGGAAGCAGGACTTCATGCAGGTACCACCACTACAGACTGTGGCTCTGTGATCTTTTTATTAAGCCATTATATGTCAGTGCTTTTGCAGTCTTATCTCCCCCATTCCTGCTCCATGTCCTATCCTCTCCCTTACAGTAGTACTAGTGCTCTTCCCAAAATGAAGCAATTATCTCTCTGACAGTTTTGCTTTTGGGACCAGCACAGTGATGATCTTAGTTTAGGCTGCTGTGGAAACACACCTCAAACCATTTAGCTTTTCTGCCAGACCCCAACTGGGGAACTCTGGCAGCAACGCACCTGGCAAATGGTATTAAAAAAAAAAAATCAGAAACTTGAAAATTACTTTAACAGCAAAAGGATTTGCTCTTGATTTTGCAAAAATGATTTTTCAGAAAACAAGGTCATATGCGTAGCCTGCTGTCTCATTTGTAATGAATATTTCTTAGCTCTCAGCAAGCTATTCATGTGCACAACTTCCACATACAGTTCATAAGGCACCCACTGAGTGGTGAGAACTGCTAACTTCTACAGCATCAGTTAATGCTCAAAATGAGAAAGGCTTATTATTCAGCATCTACTTCAAGTCCAAAAATCTTCTTTGCTGCTGTTACTGTATTACAGAGGACTATGCATGAATGATATTTTTCTTAATGCAAACCATGTGTATTTTATTCCTCTGCCAGCAATTGGCATATGTGTTTCCTCTTACTCACAGATTCCCTCTCAAAAGTGCCGTTAAGTGCTGGAGCTCTTGGCAACCTTTCTGGAATATCATCTTTAACAGCATTCACAGGTGCCTTCATTGCAGAGACTCGAAGAAAAAGGGTTTTCCAGTGATATTCCATGGTGGAATTGTCTTGAGCACATGACACGGTTTGGGACCATAGCAGTGGCTGTTTCATACTGTCTTTCCCGTGATCGGTCATCATCATCACCATCATTAGATGCAATGAAAACTCAACTCTGCTCTCAAGCAGACTCTTTCCTGCTAAAAAAGTAGGGTTTTTTTAATATTATCTGACACAAACATAGTTAGAGACAATTTTCACAGACGCCTTAGAATGAAATAGAGCAATTGGATCATGAGTACATGATGTCATTTGCATCAATTTGGCATTTTGCTGGGGCTCGACTCTGAATTTACTCTGTTTTACACAGATTTTACAGCAGTTATACACCACTCTGTGAAGACAAGGGAACTTGTATCACACAGGGAAGGAAGAAGCACTCACAAAGGAAAAAACATTATCAAAGATTTGTTGAAGAAACTAGAGGCTGTCTTTACCTGAATAGTAATGCAATGAGTGGAACTGAAGACAGAGCTGGATGTTGGGGATACTTGCCGATAAACCAGAAGCTCAGTGCTATATGCTAGACCAAGGGCTATAATAAGCATGCCTGGTGAGTGCCTGGCTATCACACTGTTGGAAGAGGAACATACTCACACTTTCTTCCTTGCCTGTGCAAAGTTAGCTGTACACATACTGCACCTACTCAGATGCCAAACATGCAAGTGACGCTCCCTTACTACTATTTATACCAATTAGCTAATGTCTAGTGTGTGAGAGAAGCCACAGGCAGTGCTGGTGCTGCTGAATTTGGCCTTATTCCATAACAGCTCTTTTCTGTGTATTGAGATGTCGGGGGGGGGGGGAAGGAAATCAGGGGGGGGGGGGAAATCAGTGGGTTGGTGGTGTTTCAGAATCAAACATGCAGCAAACCAGCAAACAATATTAAAAGCAAATAAAGATGCTAATCAGTTGCGTATAAAAAAATGAAATAGACAAAGTATAAAACAAACAGCAAAAACCAGGCCAAAATGAGCTTACAGGAAGGGTTCCAAGAGGGCTTTTTTGTGGTACAGGTTGGTTTTGTAGTTTTAGCAATGTTTCAGATTTGAAAGAGGCTCCTTTCAGTCTGCCAGAAAGAATAAAAGATCTGTCCAAAGGAGAATTTGAATGATTTGTTTTGGTATAGCTGAGCTACAGTGTTCAAGTGGATAGCAATGGAGAGTGAAAGGTAAAATGCTCACCAGATACATTTTGACACAAGGCATCTGATAGAAGTAAACCTGAGAGTATACCCTGATATAAAATTGTCACAAAGGAAAAATACCAAAGTGTCCTGGAGGGCAAAGTCAGTGAAAGGCCAACATTAACCTTCTTAGATGCTTATTAAAAATACACCATAGATTAATTCATCTGCTGAAGACGAGAGTGCACCTTCACGGCAGATAGGGAAGGTGCTCTCTTTCAGCAGCTTCAGTTCTCACATACCACAGCTGCTTACAGTGGACCAGGTCATCAGGTGAAAACAGTATTTGACTGAAAAATAAGGAAAGGGTTCAGCATTACTGATCAGAAGCACTTAGAAATCATGAACCAGGCCTTAAAGAAATCATAAAATTGTCTTCTGGGTTTTCATAGCAAGTCAAATTTAAAAACGAATGTTGACAGCTTGCAGCAACACTTTCCAGGTTTCCATTTTCAGCTTCAGCCCTACCACTGGATTATTTTTAATGCAAAATGGAGTGCTAATGTCACAGCACTGCAGGTTACAGAGCTTTAGGAAAAAATGAGAGCCTTCAAGTAAAACAGTTTGCTGGAGTTTCATAGCTAGGAGGCCTCAGAACTGTAGCCATTCCAAAATTTGGAGGAAGCTGAGAGAAAAGAGAATATGCTTTGCACCACTGTCAAGATGTGGAAAATGTAAGGCCAAAAACCCATGTAGGCTTAGAGATGAAGGAAGCCTCCTGTCCAGAGAAGGTGTAGGTGCTTGGTGTGGACACTGCTCCAGACAAAAGTCTTTTCCCAGTGTGAGGAAGTTGCAGGGTTTTTCCTTACCTGTTAATTTTACCGTTCAAAGTCCATTTCAGCATTGAGAAGCCATCCTGCAGCCTGGGTGTTGCCTCCCCTCTGCAGTTTTGAAAGGTACCTTAGAGTCGCCCACAGCTGCCCACAGACTCAAACCAAAAGTGAGCACATAGAGCAATGAGGAGCCTCAAATTCAGTTAAACTGCTGATTCAGTTCAACTGAAAATTCTGGTATAGCCACGAACCTCTGGTATTGTGCACATCAAACCGAGGAGATACTAGGATGGGCGTCAAGATTGTTTCTTCAGTCTAACCCACATGCTGGGAGTGTGTACACAAAATTCGTGAGGTACAGTGCTTTATGCCGGACAAGGGTCTGGCCATTTGTCTTTTGGGCAGAGATGGGCTCCAACAGTGAGGCAATTTAAGGCCTAGAGTCAAGGGTTTTTTTTTTTCTTGTCTGGATTGAATTTTAAAGCCGCTGAAGGAAGCCATACATCTCTGGCTGAAATCCATAGGAGATGTGTGATTAAGTCCTTTAGTCATCAGTGGAAAAATCCCTTGCTGGTCTTCTGATTCCAAATTTCTGTGATATTCAGCATCAGATCTGGATCAGCCATCTGCAGCTATGGACTGCAATGCTATGTATACTCAGGTCTAGGACGTTCCACCTCCAAGGAATTGTCTTTTATAGAAAAAAGCACTTTGGTCTATTTTTTTCTCCATTCTTTTTTATAAATAAATATATACTTTTGATGAAAAGTGCCTCAGAGACTCATTAAACACTTAATGCAGTAGTAAGAAAGGAACTCACTGACGTTCTGGCCACGTTGGCTACCACCAGCTCTCGGAGGAGCATCAGGCTGAAGTGTCTGGGTGCACATTGGTCCTGCCCAATGTCACATGTTTCTGCTGACATGCCAAGGCTGGTGTCCTGCCTGCAAGTTAATGGCTCTGATTTCAAGTCAAAACCAAGCTAAGCCACCACGTTTGCTCCATTTCCAGTTACTGCTCTGATGAGCCCTTTTTAGCAAACATTGACAGAGGGGGAGGTTTGTCCCAAACATTGTGCCTGGCAAATCTCCCTATTTTTTTCAGTGCCGTTAATACCTTGGGCTCCTCTGAGGCCACAGTATCACTGTAATCCCAAAGTGCCTTGCTATTAGTGAGCTTTCTCACAAGGCTGCCTGCCCCATAGGTGGGGAGCCAAGGAGCTTTGAATGCTAGATCTTCTCCAGCAGATTTGCACAGGAAGCCACTGGCTGACCTGACAGCTGAACCCGGGGAAATTCCTTTTGCTGTGAACCCAAGCGGAACATTACTTCACCCTGAATCACTTAAATCTCAGACAGTACTTGGGGAGGGAGGGAAAAAAAAAAAAAAGCTCTGCCCTGCAGCAGGTACAAGGACATTCAAGGGCCACTTCAAGCCATGTGCCAACACACTAACAGAGGTTGACCTCACTGACCCAATCTTGTAAGACAGAGGGACATGCCATGGGACAGACTGAGAGCACCTGCACTGGCAGAAGAATGGCATGGCCAGGCATGGCACAGGGAACAAGGTACAGGGGAGACAACACCAAGTAGGAGCACCCACGAGGAAACTCCTCCATCTCCGAAGATCCCTGCATGACCCTCCAAGCCACGGCAGCCACAAAGGTACCACACAGCAATGAAAGCCTCTGTTTTCAATGTCACCCCATGGGAGCAAGGAAAAAGGGTAGTAGGTCCCAAAACCTGGGTGTGGGAATGTGGTGGAAATACCTGCTGTGAGTCGCTGATGGTTTCAGGGAGCAGTCCCCCTTGCCCCACAGCCAGCCCCTCTGAGCAGAGGTGGACACCCTGGGTCTGCTGTTTGCTTCTGTGACTCCCTACAGAGGAGGGATAAAAAACAGCCCAGGGCTGCTGCTTTGGAGAAGAGGATAAACGTACCTTGTGTTGGCACAGGGAAAGCCTGAAGCTGAAGCTTCATTTGTGGTGAAGGTTTCTGATGAGCTGCATTATTCAGCAAGAAACTGCTATATTTCAGACAGCTGCAGATCATGAGGAAACACCTTTCCCAGCCTGGAGCACCGGCACTCAGGGCCTGAGGGTTGCTCATCAGGAACCCGTCCATGAGACGGCTTTTTATGGTGATGTTGTGTTCAATAAAACGTTTGAGCTGAAATTAAGAATACATCAAAAAAACTCAGACACTTAAAGTATTTTTTACATTATGTTTAAGGAACAGTTGGGTGTTCGTGAAAACAGATTAGATCAAAACCTGCTTGTATGACAAGTTCCCTGTAAATAAGAAACTTTACATACTAAAGAGGTCATGGTCTGGGCACTCCCCAGACCCTCGCCCTCTGTTAGAGGAATAAGGGTCATCATTTCCATTGCAGAGACAAAGAAACAGCCACATAGATAGGAAGCACTATGGCTGTAGTCAGCTGGCAGGTCGGTAGCAATGGCAGTTTAGATTTGGTTCCAAATAAAAGTGTTTTGTTTTGAAGGAATTCAAATTAAATGGAAAAAAAAGAGCATAGGGTTTTTTTGTTGTTGTTGTTCAGTGTTTTGGGAGGAACCTTCACATCTGTCTTCAGCCTCCATGCTGCTCAGCTCCTGCCTCCCCCCATCATTTCCCTACCAGAAAAAAAGAACCAACCCCCAAGTGGATATTCTTTCTGAGCAGAACCCAACCACAGTTTCAAATTTTGAGCCTTTGCAGAAGTAAAGTAAATAATCACAAGGGGATTTAAAAAAAAAGGCTAAACTGGGGGGGGGGGGGGG